GAAAGCTCTTGATGAGTTTAACATCAAGATGAGCTTATATCTTTAAAATATATATCATATATATGTTTAAAAACGTCAATATTCAAGAAAGTACAGTGCAATTTAACAAAAATCATTATTTAATAAAACAAAATTTTATTTATTTATATTTCACAAGTCACGGCAGTCACATAGTGACTGCAAGGTTGCTAGTTACAATAATTTTACAAAAAAACGAATAAATAATAATAATAATAATAATAATAATAATTAATAATAATAATAATAATAATAATAATAATAATAATAATAATAATAATAATAATAATAATAACAATAATAATAATAATAATAATAATAATAATAATAAATTTTGTAATTAACTTTGATAAGTTATTTTTAAACAAATTTCAGAGTTTCTGCGTGAACAAATATGTAGAGGAAATAACAGAGCTCTAGTATATTCTGAATATTGATCTCCGTTCGTGTATAATATGTATTACGTTTTGCTATAAATTAACATGAACCTTGCCATTAGTTTTTATAGACTTTATCGTAATAAGTAATTTATATAATTGCCGTTGGATATGAATATACATAAATATAACATATATTTATATGTGATATATATATGATAATATTCAAATAGACTGGAATTTTTTTTTGCATGTATATATATTTATATATAAGCAATTTCAAAGTAATTACATTTATACATATTACATATCGATTTTTTTTAACATCCAATATTTAATTAACTTTTCTTTGTCTACATCAACTTTTGAATATAAATACAAATATACGTATTAAGATTTGGATTTTAATGACAACTTTTGTCCTTTCTTCAAATTACGTACAAGAAAATGAAAATAAAAAGAAAATTTTCAAGACAAAAATTCTACTATAGATAAATTTTACTGTTAAATTATAACAAAATAATTTTTTTCTAATTTCTTCTTTTCAAATTAATCTTTATTTTAAGATTTAAGTTCGAGTAATAGCTTGAATAAGTTTTACAGTTCATTGGATCGCCTTGCAAACTCCTGAAACTAAACCGGGCTAACAAATCTCTGAGAAATGTACCGTATACTAAAGTATTCAATTTGTCCTAATATAAGTTTCTAAGTTGGGGTTGGTTAATACTCTGCAAGGACATTCTCCTAATTTAAATTACTTTTCTTCATTAAAACTATGTTATTTACTTAGAATCTTTAATTATTACATTTCTTCATTTTATGTTTTTAACTTTCTGCTAAGAAAATTGAAAATTTTCAAAAATCGGGAAACTTTCCTGACTATTCCTGCGATGGTTTGGTGTCTGCCGGTTTTTTTTAGTAGATTTCATAGAAATCTAACTATTGCAATGGTCCTCATGACGAAACTTTTGAAAAATTTTGCTATATTCCAACTTAACTCGACGAGTTGAGTCAGAAAATACATATGGTTCAAAAGTTTATATATGTATGTATATATGTTGATATATATATACGATATAACGCGGCTTGTCACCACGATAGCGTCGCCAATTTACTATGGATCTTTATCAAACTCAACATACTTATTCTACAGATAGATACCGAGGTCAAGTTCGAAGATGAGCTTAATCGGTCAAGTAATTTAGAAATGCCATGATTTCAAAATTTTCAAAATCATGAAAAATCATAAAAATTTCCATTTCTTCATTTTCGTACTTAAATAACTTTTGAATGGGATAATTTATCGAATTTCTGTAAATTGCATATGAAAGCTCTTTAAATAAGCTTCAATTTGAGTACCATATCATATGTGTAGTCCCAAAATTATGTCCTATTCCGCTATGCCAATTATGAAATTTGCTATTGAAGTCGTTTTTTTTTGTTTTTTTCTTTACTGTACACCAGCAGTAAGTAAACAAATAACGGAGTTAGGGTGAAATAAGCTTTTAATCGCTGGTGTACTAAAAATCAATTATTTTTTTCTATTTATGATGAAATCTACTTCCATTTCGACTGCCGAATGGTCTTTTTTTTTTTGAAAAGTTTATTTTTATTTTTTTACAAACAAAAGTCACATAAATGTTAATAATATATAGATTAAAAAATACAATAAAAAAACTGTAACATAATTATAATAAATAATATTATTTTATCTTAGCTAGCTATAATAAATAGACTTTGCTAAAAAAAAATATTTTTTTCCAAATTTTTATCAAATTTTTAGTTTGAGCAGTTCGCGCTCTAAGATTGTCCAAAAATCTCAAAAATCTGCGTTGAATGCCGTAAGCCTTAACAAAATCGGTTGATTTATTCAAAAGTTATTGCAGTTTGAAAATTTCAAAAATAATGTTTTATCAAACTTCTATCAAACTTTTGAGCTCAAGAGCACACAAAAGATTTTTCTTTGAGCTCGAAGAGCTCAAAAATAAAATAAGTGAAATTTTCAGCGCTTAGATATGGAATTAACCGGAAATTACAGGGATGACCTTTAGGGTCAACCATTTTTTTAATTTTTTTTAAGCCTCTTCGTTAGAAAAAAAAATTCAAAATTATTGACACTGTTAATTCGTAAGAGAAGAAATTCAAAATATTTACAAGTACTGAAAAAAAATTCTAATGCTTTTTAACTAGCTTTTTTTTATTACTATACCAAGAAATTAAATGGCAAAAATAAAAAAAAAAGATAAAAATTTCATTTCTTCATCACTTGTTTCAATTTCAACGATCCACACTACATTTATAACATTAAAATCAACCAGTGTCGAAATAATCAATCGGTATAAACTTTTTTTTTTTTATCGCTCACAAAATATTATCGCCGGTAAAATTTATACCAGCGTCAAAAGTTGATGTGACTGGGTTCAGAATAATAAATCGAGTTTATACCCCGATTACTCATAAACTCAGCATACAAATTCCGTTCGTCTGAGAATTAATGATTTATAAACTTTTATTATCAGTAAAAAAAATGTAATAAAAATTCAAAGCTTAATTGAAATAAATAATTTAAAATAAAGCAAAGTAATTAATTTTAAATTCATCTTTTTGATTTAAGGAAAAAAATTTAATTGATTAAAATATTCTTTGTCTTGATTCAAGTCAATTTTTTTTGTGGTGTATTATATCTAAATAAAAAAAAATTTTTTATTAAAATAAATCTATTTAAATCTCCCTAATCGGATTTCGCAAAAATAAATTAATCGTTTCTGAGGATTAAAAAAAATAATTGAAATTTTGAGTACCCGAAAAAAAAAAAATTATTAGACAGTACGACTCACCTGGGATAAAAATCCAGCGACGTCGATTGCACTGTTAACTCGAGGTCTCGAGGATCTGGGCCAACCCTGGCTGGAACCTCCTCCTGCGGCGCCTCCACCCCCACCGGCACTGTCCAGGGAATCCACGTGATGGTTTGACCAGTGCAGATGCTGCAAATCGTTCATCAGCTCATATCAAATCATACACGTCACTTCAAATTTATCATATCTATTTTTTATACCAAAGTATAAATTTATGTCTTTTAATTAAAAACCTTGTTTTTCATTTTACCACGTCCTGGATCATCCGGACATGACAGTCCGCAATTCTGTCACGAGTTGGAGTTTAATCTGTCGAATTTATCGAGTTTTATGTTACCGGATAAAATTTTTATCAACAATAATCGTTCGATCAAATTAATATCTCTGCACAGAAAAAAATTTTCCTTGAATTAATAAATTGATTATTTTTAAATTTTTAATAAATTTTTATTAAGAAAATAAGAAAAATTTTGTGTCTAGGATAGTTATATAGATACATAATTGAGAAATGACCTTGTATCTCGTGAACTATTGACATTTTTAAAGATATAAGCTCATCCCGATGTTACACTCTTCAAGACCTTTCATTTGAGTACCCACATCAATTTTTCATATATTTTATATATTTATATACTTCACAAATACCATATATATGAAATATATGAAAAATGCCATGTGGGTACTTAAATAAAAGGTCTCGATGAGCGTAACATCAAATTGAGTTTATATCTTAAAAAATGTCAATAATTAAGAAATGACCTTGTATTTTGTCAACTATTGACATTTTTAATGATATAAGCTCATCCCGACATTACACTCATCAAGACTTTTCATTTGAGTACCCACATCAATTTTTTATATATTTATATATATTATATATATATATGTACATATGAAAAATATATGAAAATGCATGTGAGTACTCAAATGAAAGCTCTTGATGAGTGTAACATCGGTATGAGCTTATATCTTAGAAAACGTCAATATTAAAGAAAGTACAGTCTAATTTAACAAGAGTCATCATTTAATAAAGTAAAATTTTATGTATTTATAGTTCACAAGTCACAAAGTGACATTATTGTAAACTTGCGAATCAAAATGTTCTAAAGCAACACCAAAATATTCTTCAATCATTTGGTCGTTTTCCTTAATGTTAAATGTTTTTAGTAGAATATTTTCCTTGAATCGAGATAGCTTTTTTTCTGTGCGGTTAAATTTTTTTATCGTCATCAATTATCGTTTGATCAAGTTATTATCATTGTATTTTACTTGGTATCACATTATGTACGATATATAGAAACATATGGCAGTATAATGGAAGCGTGGAAGTATGAAGATTGATACGATAACTTAGTCCCCTATGATTCTTACATTTTATGTCTAAATTTGGTGGTAAATACTTTCGTCCATCATAAATCCGATAAAAGATTATTTCTTTCAGGTGACTAATTTTTCTTTTTCTTATTTTGAAATTTATTTCGCTATTTTAGAGTATGATTTTAAGCTCAGAACTTTTTAAAGTTAAATTCAGGGTAGTTTCCAAGAAAATTATTGTATAAGTTTGCAGAGATAACTCGAGTTATAATAAGCTGAACAGACGGAAAGTAGTTTTGAAGAAAGTTTTGTGAATTTTACTTTTTTTTTTCAAAGAAGATGATAAAATTTATTTCTTGATTAATTTTGGGTTATAATAATAATTTCTTTTCAATTTTTTGGTAAATTTTTCAAATTTTTATAAAGCTAAAAAAATCCATTTCATTCGAGAAAAATGATATAAAATTCCCTTGAGTAATTTAAAACGTAAGCAGTAAATAGTTTCGTATCATATTACGAAAAAAAATTATTTTTTAACCTCGACACTTGAAACTTAAAACTTTCATCGCATAAAATTCATAACTTTATAGTATAATTTTAACATTTAAAAGTTATCTAAAGTAATTTTCTTGAAAAAAAAAAAAAAACAATAATATATTTTTTATATTATATAATATTGCGAAGAATAAAAAATTTCAAGCGTGAAATTGAAATAAATTAACTTTTAACGCTTGATTTTTTTATACTAAAACATAGTCCGCCATTTTTAGACCGCACTATACTCAGCGTGACGTCACTTAAGGCCTCTTTTCATGTAAATAAAAAACAATATTTCTTCTTAGTCCTCCAATCATTAAATTATTTTTAAATTATTTTTTTATTACTATTTAATCAATTTAAATTTAAAATTTGATTTTTTAACAAGTTACAAATTAAAAATAAGAATTAATAATTGCCGCATTAATTTTAACTCAAGTTACTTGTTCAAAAACTCTTAACTAACCGCGTTAATAACAATAATAATAAATTTATCTTTTTTAATATTGATTATTTTTAATGGAGATAAAAAAAATAAACATTGAGCGAAAAAAAAAGGAATTAACCTTAAAAAAAGTGTAAATATATTGAAGCGTGTCGATCAAAAATTCTATTTACCAATATTTGTCAAAAGTGTTATATACTTTTTACCTTAAAATATTCCCATATATATCTATGTATTCGTGAATGTGAATACATTATGCATGTGCCTTGTGCGAGAAAAATCCATGAGTAGAGAAGTGATGCAGTCAATTACAGATACAGTAGTGCGAGTGCTCTATTTGCTTTACAAAAATAACGATCATTAATTTCTTTTACTTGTTTATTCTTTGTTTTTGTACGTTTTAATGATAAAATGTTTAATCGAATGAAAAGCGAGAAGAAAATTAAATAAAAAATTTTTTTATTATATTAAATATAACTTTGCATTAAAGTGGAACTTTGTTTAATGATCAAAGTTTAAAACTGCCATTAAACTATTATTATCTAGAGAGTTTGCAGAAATTTAATTATTTCTTCTTTTAGAGTATTTTAAAAAAATTGAATAATTGAGTTTGTTTGTTTTGTTTTTAATTTATCAGAATAAATTATTTAGATTACGTTCTCTAAATCTCATAATTTTATCTGTCTTGTTTTCGTGATTGGGTTGTCCCTTTCATGACGGCTTCGTCCCCAAAGGTTTTACATAAGCCCATTAAATTAGACTAGCGTGGAAATAAGTGGAGTTTATTTTTGGAAGCAATTATAAATTTATTAATTAAGTTTGTTGTTTTATAAGTGGTTTGATGGAAGAGTAATGATAAAATCTGGGGCTATAAAAAAAAGATTATTTTTTAATATGTAAAGCTTCCAAATATTAAAAGCCCCAATTATTGACATTCTAAATTATTTTTAAATATATTTAATCATCTGTAATAAGCATAACTATCATATAAATTTTTATTAAATTCTAATTAATTAAAAAATTGAAAAAAATTACTGTCAGTTAATATTAAATATTAATTATTAAAAAATAAAGTTAGCACCAGTTAAAACCAGCTTACGAACGTTCATTTTCTTAACAATTTTGATTAGAAAAGCATTTTTTTTTAATGCCGAGTTTAAATTAATTTCTTCATAAAATAATATCATCTTTTTTTTTTTTTAATTAACAATATATGAAAAATTTATAAAATTGAATAATCGAAATTAATTGTATGTTTTATAATATTTAAATAATGGGTGTCAATAACTAGTTGATAATTTTTAAGTTGAATCTCATATTGACAGCCATTCGACAGCGCTATCATGCCTTTTTTTGACTGTAATCTAAAAAATTAACTGTAAGAGTTTGAACTCTTCTGATTAAATAAATTATTTTTAAATAAATTTTTTTATTTTTAAAAGTAATTAATCATTTATGGAAATTATTATTAATAAACTTTAATAAAATTGATTACTTAATAATAAGTTTGGATAAATAAGAATAAGCAGATGATTGTAGGCATGCTTAGTATAGGTGTCAATAATTGGGGTGAAGGTATGTCAATAATTAGATCAATCAGTTTTTAAACCTGCCAATAATTGGTGTCTCTGGATAATCTATTTAATTATTCAAAATTAATTAGTAAATATCAGTGATTATCATTTTAAAAAATTTGATTAGTAAAAACATTACTTGAGATATTACCATGAACAAAATTCACGATATTGATATTTGATTGCTAAAAAAAAATCAAATCATAACTTTGTCTCTTATAGTATCAATGATTGGGGCTTTTACCTTAATTATTAATACTACATTTTAATTTTCTATCTAAAAATCAATCACTCTTTTAAATTTCAATTTTTAATCCAAAAAATCGGAGTTTTACGCCGTAAAAATGTCCGGCGCGTTTGTTCGTAAATAAAAATGACGATATCTCCGCTAAAATTTTATAAAATATCTCAATTTTTTTTTTTTTAAATTGAAATCCATACAAAGAATATTATTGCAAAAAATTATGATTAAAAGCCTTTTAATGCGTTTGTAATATTCATTTTTTTGTTAAAACTGGCTCACCATATGTTCGACATCTCGCCGCCATATTGATTCGTTCTATGTTAACTTGTAGAATGATTTGTAAAAACGGTGGGAAATTTAAAAAGTGTTTAAATTAAAAAATGGCTGAGATAAATAAATTGATTAGTAAAAACATTACTTGAGGCATTACCACAAACAAAATTCAATGATATTGATATTTGATTGCTTAAAAAAAATCAAATCATAACTTTGTCATTAATAATGTCAATAATTGCGGCTTTTACCTTATATCTAACCTTTCTCCTTTTTTGTTTCAGAAAGTTTATAAAGAGTAATTTAAATTAAGAAGAAATATAATTCTACTTTGTGATTGTTAAAATTTGATTAGATATAAAATATTTTCTTTTTTCTTTTAGGTTATACAAGCTGATCTGAGATTGTTGAAAATATATAAAGGGAAGAGTAAAGGTTAGATTCACGAGCTTTGAAGTTTAGAAAGTCAATTTTCGAGCAACCGCTCTGTGTAATTAGATTGCGGTTAACCACGAACTTGTTTCGTTTATAAATATAAAGTCGTAAAATAAGGTTATATATACGCTAATTTCACGGAGAAATTTTCTGGGTAAATAAATTTTTATTTTAAGTAATGAAACTATCAAAAAAACTATTTCTCCTTTTATAAATTGATTTCTTCTTTAAATAATTTTTATAACTAAAAAAAAAAAAAAAAATAAGCAAAAATTGAGTGAAGAAAGCAGTGACCCAGGACAAACCAGTGAAGAAATATAATTTAAATAAAATAATGTGGTAATGATTGATGACATACAAAAACAATAAACAGTAATTTATATGCGTATGTATGTCGAAAGTGAAAACAAACAAGTCAGTTTAATAATAAAACGACTTTATTAATTAATTAATTAATACCGATGGTCACGCGATGTCCGCCCTGTGTAGTAGAGCAAATTGGCAGCCGCACTCCCGTGGCTCACGAGTTCTTCTCTGATAATGAAAGCACTGCTCCAAAACTCCGCAGCCCCCTCCCCCACACTGCATCACCATATCCGATAATGTAGTCATAACCTTTTTCGTCCAATTCAACCATTGGCATATTTGTTTGTTTATATTTTATTAATTTCAGATTTGAATTTCATTTATTCAATTTTTTTTTCGCAGGTCGCAGATGACGTCGAGGTTAAGAAACAAAAATATTTTAAAGTCTGTTTAGTTTCTGTTTTTTTAATTTAACGCCATCTATTTGAGGTGTGCGAAATTAAATTTTAATTAATTAAATAAATCTTCGCTACAAGTCATAATTATTGTAAAATTTTTTAAAAATATTATTCTACTTTTTATTTTAAATATAAAAGGTAAGAATAATTTTTTTCGTATCTTTGTTAGTTTTCGAGATAATTAAAGTTGAAAAAACTGCATTTAAGTTCCAAGCGCCGGCACATGCGCGTGAGCGGTTCCGCGCATGCACAGTATTTTCGCGGGAAATTTAAACTAAACATACAAAATGACTTATTTTTTCGATTTTTAACACTTTAAAGTGAAATTTTAATAAATATTATTACAAAAAAATTTTTATTTAGAAAATTAGAAGAATTTTTATTTAAAATTTGTAAAAAAAATTAAAAGCATAAAAAATTTTGCTAAAAATTTTTGCTACCAAAAATTTTATTTCGCTGACGCTTTTAATAGATGGCGCATGAAGTAGAAAAAAATTATAAAAATGTAAGCTTGTAAAGTTGGCTATATTGGTTTACACCAACGCCTTGTACACATTTTTCTCTAATAAAAAAAAATAAATGTAAGCAATTTTCTCTAAGGCTTTTTAGATAAAGTACTTAAAAGTTTATTTTACAGCTTGTTATATATAAAAACAGCTCAATAAATCTATCGATTTAAAGTGGTATTGTTGCTATTGTTATTATTGTGTACTATTAAGTGTCGAGTGAAGTACTTTGGTAGATATAGTAAATAAAACAGACATATCTTTAGATTGTTAGTGAGTTTAAGAAACTACTACCCCTTTAATTAAGTACTTTGAAAATAAAATAAAATAAACGGATGAAAATTAAGTTAGCCTTTGAATTTTTTTTATTGGAAAAATTATTGCAAAAAAATTGTTAAAAGTGCAATTTTAAAAAAATTGTTTTGTTTTAATTTAATTAATAAAAAAATTAAAAACATCGGCTAACTTTAGTATTATATTAAATGATTTGATTAAAACTAAAAAGCTCGCTAAATAAAAATACTCTGAAAAATTATATTAAATGTGGTTATATACTAAAAAAAAGTTTATATTTTACAGTGCAGTTGGTAGTTTTAACGATCATTAAAAAAAAAAAAAAAAAAATACGCTTGAGGCTCAAATAAATTTGATGTGACTATAACTGCTGAATAAACAATAGAGATGTATGAAAAAAAGATTATTTATTCGGCTAGATAAATATTCATGTTTATATTTGCGGACGCGAATTTTAAAATTGAATATTAATTTTTTGCTTTTCAGTTTTTATTGGAGTATTATTAGAGATTCCTTACCTGAGAGCAGGCGTGTTGTGAAGAGTGTTGGGTGCAAGGAGTTGTTGTGGGGTTGCAAATCGCCCCCGTGCCCGGAACTTTTAGCTGTTCCTTGTAATCGGGCTGATAAGGAAGCAGCATGCGTATTTTGCCCCATCGGTTGAAAAAAAGTGCTATTGCACCCGCCCAGACTAGTAGTACCATCATAACTATTCCTATTTCGACGGCACGTACCTGTTCACAGAGAAATCGATAGATAAGGTTAATATATTCACTCAGGGTTGTGCTATTGTTGACGCGCTACAATTCCCAGAAAATGGAAATTAATTTAAACACTTAAATTATATAGTCTTAAAGGTTATATTTTACTTAATTGCAGTAATTTAGAGGTCTAAAATTTCGCAAAATTAATGAAAATTAAGTTAGCCGGTATATGAGAATTTTTATCATTTATTTTATTAAAAAATTAGAAAAACGGTTGACCCTAGAAGCCATTCCTGCAACTTTCCGCTAATTCCATACTTAAGCGCTTAAAATTACACTTATTATTTTTTTGAGCTCTTTGAGGCAATATGAACCAAATTTTACGCAGTTGGCGGCTTTCGACGCAGTTTTTTAAGGTAATAAGGTAAAGTACCCAGTAGTTGAACAGATTTCAAAGTAAAACTTATTTGACCCTGCTTTTAATATATAAAGATGTAATTATTAGTTCAAATTCGACAACGTTTTTAAAATAAACTATTAAAGGAGCAGTAGTTGAACTAATAAAATATATGGCAATAGGCACACCAAAAATTTTCAACGTTTTATTGAAATATTAAAAGAAATATAAGATATTATTGAATAATATTAAAAATAATACTGAATATTTAATATGTTCATTTAAAAATGACAAATTTTTGTATTTAATTTTTTAATTACATTTTTTATGAATGACAAAGCAAATTTTCAATTATAAATCAAAAAAACTCAATTCAAAACGTTCAATAATTTTTAACTACACTAATTTTTAGTCATAAAACTTATTTAAATTGCAGTAATTAATACAAATGACAATACTGATCACTAGTCTATAAACCTATTAGAGGTTATAGTGCTGTTAAAATTATACGGCCTCAACCTGTTCAGGTTATGGGTACCGCTTTAAAAATTTCGAGGTATAGTTGAACGCTAAAATTTAATATAAAAATTATAGTTTATGTCTTTGCAAAAAATATGTATTATTTAGAAAAGACTGTTTCATTGGGTGGTACAATTTTTTTTACTTAAAATGATGATATACCG